GCGGCTGCGAACTTTGCTTGGGTCAATCGGTCATGCATGACTTTCTGCGCTCGCCAGGTATGGTGTCATTTTACGAGGTAGCAGGGCGTTCGAGTTCCGGAATTTTGCAGTTTCTATTCGTGAGACAGATTGCTGGATACGGCGTTGTATATTTAGCCTCCGTATCCGGTTGCTTTTGCGTTGTATAGAAAATATTAAACAATAATTTATTTTATAAATTTAGTTCAGGCTGTTGATGATAACACGTTCACAAGGAGACGGTTAGAAAAAACACTCTGAAGAAAATACCTTGACCTTTCAAAGATCTCGGGTCGTTTTCGCAGTTTCTTCCAGTTTTATCATCAGAATTCATAAACACGCGACCATATAGCCTCATTATACTACATAGACTATCCACAAAGTTATGGCTTATTGATCGCATTGTGAAGCCTTCGCTTAATCTGTGCACCGCGTAAATAGTTCTGAAGATTTCATAAAGAAACTCATGTTTTAACTTTTACAATCTGTGCTCTTTCGAAATGGCTAAATTTTAACTTAAAAGCCTTTTTGACAATATCTGTAGTAGCAGAGTCCTTTTCATTGCACTGAAGATTTTAAGAGACACCGGACACATGTTGAGATTGCAATTGTGCGATTTGCCTGTTTCAGAAATCTTCAAGGTTCTTCTTAACATGATACTTTGAAACATTGCTTTGAATGCGACAGAAGTTCATGTCGCCGATCTTATGTGACTGGTGTGAAATCTGTCAGAGTTACCATCGTTAACATTCCTATGACTAACCTTGAGTCCGCTGCTTTGAATTTTTGCCATCTTGACGTGGAACCTGTAGTATCATTTGTTTTTTTAGGCACCAAGGAAAAGAAAGGAAGACTTTTTTTAAAAAAATAACTGTCTTTTCAGTTTTCTGTTTCTGCAGGGAACAGAGCTATAATACTTTGTACGTCTAACGACTGTAGTGCCCTGATTGTAATTCAATGGTATTGCCATTTATCTGCGTAGAAAAGCGACGTCTTATTGTAACTATCCATCGGTATGTAAATCTTAAATCCAATATCTGCCATTCACATTCAAAACTGGTGTTTATGATAAACTTTTTCCACATCCTTAATTGTCATCCAAGTTATATAATCTTTACATTCCATTTCAACGTAATTGAAACACTGTATCTTTACCTTTCAACATTCATTTATGTCTATTCATTCGTCACTATTTACGTATGGTCGGTTTAAATGTCATTCGTGAGTAAGGCATCATTACACACAACATCTTGTTTGGTGAACTCCATACAACACATTACCTGCTTAAGAACTACTGCTTACAAAATGAATTGTATAGGTTTCAAAAGATATGCATTTATATAAACAAAAGGACATGTGAAACTCATTTAAAAGGAAAAGGATAAGCTTATAGCCGTTGGAATGTCGCTTTGTCTTGCACTTACATGATTGGGCCAGTTCTGCCACCCTTGTTTTCATGAAGTTAGTGGTGAGGGCGCTGATCTCCATTTTTTGTTGTCAGCCAGGAGTGCCTTATTTTTTTAAATATAGAACCGACAGCATTGTGATAGGCATATTCTGTATTTTCCTGTTTCTTACCCATCCATTTACCAGAGTGTTACTCATGTATCAACCTGTGAAGGAACAAAGGTGAGTGAACGCGACTTGGGCTCGAACCCAGGAGGATCTCTCGGTTTTGAGTCAGACGCCATACCGACCGAAAGTCTTGGCCTGAAGCAATGTGCGATATTTTCTTGGCTTAAAGAAATTCGTGGTAAAAACAAAGATTACCTTACTCAGGAATTTAACTCACTACCTCCGGAGTTCGAAGCTGACCTTTTGCCTGAACAGGAACATATGGAAGCTTTCAAGCTTAGATATGAAGAACATTCTGCTACCCTGGAGCATATTTTAACAACCTATCTACACTGGTTTGTTAGGCAGGACATGAAAACACTATTGCCGATCTGCTGAATCGCGAATCCATAATCTTAAAGCACGTGCGGCGTATGTAAACCAGGAATTACACTACGCAGATCTTTCGCTTATTTGCAGTCTCATCCTAAATAATTTAGTTTCTACAATATATTCTCTATTTATTTATCTTCTCTTTTTCGTTGATCCTTTTTCACCCTTTCCACTTTATAGCCCTTGAGTTTCTTTCACCTCCCTTGCTTATTTTATAATTCTTCTTTTATTGCACTGCACGGCTTTTATTATTACCTGCTAATCTTTGTTCTCCAAGACTAAAACTACTGTTTCTTCTCTGTACAATATTAATTTGTTCTAACGGTGAAACACCGTTTTGGGTTTTGAAAGCGCTTATTAAATATAATTTTTCTGGCATATGACCGTCTGTAATAAATTACTAAAATTGCTTACGCTGGCGCGTAGTTGTTTATCATCATAGTTTCTTAGAGTTTAATTTAGATAGAAATAATACGCGGTCTGCCTGACGTTTCGTATTCCGATAGATCTGTCTTCAATAATGCATCAAATTTGCAAAAACAAGTTGTAACAATAGGCTTGTTTTTTAAAAATGGCTCACTTGAGATCTGAAACTGCACATCTAGACATGCCATTTTCAATAGCATATCCAATATGCGGAGTAGACCCTCTTAACATTACCTCGATGAGAAACTTATCTCCGGTACTCGAACGTCATCTGTTGCTGTGATTTTATGATTTTACGTCTTTCTTCATCATATACTAATCGAAGTACAGTCAGGCTTTTGCCAAAGTCTTCCACTGCACTCCCGATGACCTGGACATGCAGTTAATCTACGATGTATCGCACAATATTGCGAAGATCGAGCAACACATGGTCGACGGAAAAGAACGCACCCTGTGCGTTCACCGGAAAGGCTCCACTCGGGCGTTTCCGCCGCATCACCCCTTGATACCGGTCGATTATCAGGTTTTGTGACTGAAGCCATT